CAGCCTGTGAAAATACATAGCAACAGAGGAGATTAAAAATAATCATATCATTTTACCTTCAAATGATTGCAGAATATGAAAGCACAAATTCGAAATGCAATTCTTCAATATATTGGGCTTCTAATAGCTAAAGATCTTGAGGCAAAATGAAATAAATTTAAACAAAATGTTAAACACAAAGGGTGAAATCCTGGCCTCATTGAAGTAGATGGAATTTTTGCTGTTGACATCAATGGAGACAGATTTCACCCAAGAAATTCACAGAAACTGCTTAATCGGTAGGGGTAGGAAGTGAATCTCTGGTCTTGCATCTAGATCCATGTGGGCAGACTCCTACACATGTGTGGAGTCCCACCCATGTGAATCCAATTGCAGAATGGGTGACCAAATTCTTTGATGTGACATTTAAAAAAATATGCCAAGTAATTTAATTTGTGTTTTTAGATACAATTACTGATATTTCATTTTATCCAGATTATTTTAATTATTCGTGTATTGATTATCACAGACTTTTTGGCATCCTAATATCCAAAAGCACATTTCTGAACAATGTGGTTTCATTGTGAAAGACAGGGAAACATCTGAGATGCACTCATTTATTTTTGTTTGGAAAAATATTGCAATGTAGTTAATGATGCCCCTCTTTCTGGAACAATCTTCCTGGGGGCATACTGAACTTAGGGAGATGTCTTTGTTATGTCAACCCAGTAAAAGAATTCAAAATCCAAAACACACCACCATCAAATATTATTTCTTTAAAAAACTTGATTTTTGATAACAGATGGATTTTTAAAAAATGAACATCCTTCATACTGAAATGCTGAAAGGAAACTAAAATTGAAAATCTGGATTGGGGGTTAGCAGGTCAAGAGTATTTGATAATCCATCGGTGAGGGGGAGGTATATGTTCTGGAAAGTGCATTTTAGCAATACCAGACAGTTGAATTTGTGGTATGTTCCTAAGAGTGGTTGACTCACTTCCAAAGTGTCTGGAAATATCAGGGCACATCTTCTAAGATTTCTTTCTTTCTGAAAACTGTTTATTAAGGCTAAATTGCAATAAAGTGTTAATGTACTGCATTGTACATTAATTGTTCAGGATCAGGTTAATATTCAAAGACCTTGGCTAAAGATTCTGGCTTGCCAGCTGGAGAGATTTCCTCTTCTGAGTATGCTAGAAAGGGGGACCAAATTTCTAAATGCCTATCCTCTTTTTGATGTTTTTTCTTTCTTTTTAAACATTCTGGCTCTATTGAAGTCAATGGGACTACTGCAGGAGTAAGGACAGCAGCCCATCAAACTGAAGATATTTTTGGAAAAGGTCATTCCGATTAAACCTGCCCTTTAAAGTCTTAATTGTAATTTTATTTGCACTCAGCTGCATTTTCAGGTTTTCAGGGAAAATTAAATGGAACAGAAGTGAGTTTAAACAAATGCAATGGTTCAAATTGTGCAGAGATGTACTTCAATTAAAGGAGGCTACATAGAATGTATATCAGAGCAGCATTTGACCCCATTATTATTTAGTCCCATTTACTCACATGACATTCACCTGCCATCACTCTGACTGCTTTGTGTGAAATTAATCTCTATACAGAAGGCCAGCACAAGTCCTATGCACCACTTACATACCACAGAAATCCTCATAGTAGGGCTTAAATGGTACATAAATGGTACACAGGTCTTGTGCTGGGTTCTGTGTTTTGCTTGTATGTCCTGTCCCTTTCACCACCTTTCATCTTTTTTCTCTTTCTGTCTTTTTAGATTCTAAGTTCTTTGGAACAGGGATCATGCCTTTGTGTATGGCTGCAGGATGGGCCGGTACTGGAGCCTGACGCTGAATGTGGTGGGTCTCTGCGCACTACTGCAATATAAATATATAAACTGAAAGACAGTAGCTTCTGTTTTCTTGTTCCTCTTTCATTGTGGTGAATCATGTAGATTATTATCTGAGTTTTAAAAGAATGAAATAAATTCATGGAGGATAGTTCCATCAAATGGCTATTAGCCAAGATGGTCAGACAGGCAATCCCATGCTCTGGGTGTCCCTAAACGTCGGACTGCCAGATGCTAGCAAGGGACAATAGGGGAGGGATCACTTGATAATTGCCCTGTTCTGTTCATTCCCTTTGAAGCACCTGGAATTGGCCACCCTTGGAAGACAGGCTACTGGGCTAGAAGGTTCATTGGTCTGACCTAGTATGGCCATTCTTATTGTTGTCTTTCTTGATCATTGTGTTTAATTTTTTAAATAATTCACAACATTTATTGCCACTTTTAAGTAGAAACGTTTCCTTCCTCTTCACATTAGCTGATGGACGGCACCTGTCTCCTAACAAGTCTCGGTTTGAATCCACCGCTAGATTGCGCTGTTGGACAATAAATGATAGGACTAATTTCCCTCTCCTATTCTAATTCCTTTGTGGGAGCTGCCGCAGAGAACGCTTATAGAGGGAGAGGAAAACCTTCAAACACAGAGCGAGCGAGAGAAATCCAGTCCCTAGTCCTAGTATTTTCCATGGCTGCAGCAGCGCTGGAACCGTGGCTCTCCTGTTCATAGCTCGGGGAGAAAAGTCAGAGTGCTGGGGATGGAGCATCCAGGCGTAATGTCTCTGCAACACCGCTGCAGTGGCTACACCAAAGGAGTGGGGTGGGGGGCAGTTTATGTGGCTGCGTGTCTGTGGCTGGATTGAATGTCACTTCAGGCTGCATTTTGAGAGGCAAACGCACAGCTTGTGTGTGCTTGGCTTTTGTGCGTGTCTTCCTAATTTACAAATACTTGCTGGGGATGGGGAAAGATTGGCGCACGGCCGTGACCATGAAGTCCCCACTTCAATCTGAAGGGGGGGAGCCTCCTGCAAGTGTAACCTTCTGTAATAAATGTTTACGATTTCCTGCACACATGGTGGTAAATGGCATCTAAAGGCTAAACACTGAAAGGCTTTGAAGTCATGCCTAGCACCAAATGTAGCCTGCAAAAACAAATCCCCTCGCACTGATGGGAGTGCACGGGCGCAGAAAACCCTTGTTGTTCCGTGCGACTAACACCCAGACAGCGGCTCTGCCCCGGCGCGTTAGAGGGCAGGGCTGTAAAAAATCACCTTCTTTTACGTGTCCTGCAGTTCTACCTTTCAAAGCGGGCGGTGTCAGTGCCCGGAGGGGTTTCCTGGTGTGTGGCAGGCTGCCTTGGATGGGTGAGCGCAGGTATGAATCAGGCTGCTTCTGGGGGGGAGGAAGGCGAGAGCTGTGGATCAGTGTCTGCAAATGCACACGGGTATGTGCAGGAGCGTGCCCGGGTGTCTGATTTCGGCAGGAGCGTGTCTATGGCTTGGGAGTGTTGAGTCTGGGAATGTCTGCGTGTGGCTGGGTGTCTCCAGGCGGTGGGAGAGCCGGAGTCACTCTGTATTGCTACATTTTCTCTGCATAGCTTTTGCCTTGTGAGCCCAGTGTACAGACGAGGGAGGTGTGTGCTTGGGCTCTGTGTGTGTATGTGTTTCGGGGCGTTTGTGTGGCCTGTGTGTGTATTTCTGTGTAAGGTACCTGTCTCTGATATAGACAGTATATACAGGTTCCTGAAGCTGAAATTGTATGTTAGTCTTACCCTGCCACTGGCTGAGCAAAGTAAATACATCCGGATATTTTAATTACAATCACCCAGCTCCCTGATCCGACCTTTGTTTAGGTCTCTACACACAGGAAACACTTTCGCAAGGTACCCGATTACGGAACCGTTTATTTCAGGGAGATGCAATGATAAACATATTATTGCTATTGCAAAGCGTACAGTCGCTGGGCGCTACTGTTATCATCAGAGGGCAGACACAGGTAGCTACGGGCTGGCCGAGTTCCGAATCTCTGTGCCAGGGTGTCTGCGCCCACCCCCCAGCTATTCCCCTACAACTTTCCTCTCGCCTGGGGCTAGTGGCAGACATTTAGGCTGGATAATAAGTGAAGGGGTTGAAAGCGGAGGCGGCAGGGCAGGGTAAGCGGTGACTGGGGGAAATAGAGAGGTTGGATTGGGAAGATGTATCCTTTCATTTAGGTTCAGTTCGTTCTCTTTTATTCTTTCCTCCCCGCAACAATAGACCCTCCATGTCCCCTTTCCATCTGGTTAGATTCTGACAGCTCGAGCCTCTGTTGTGTGTTGTGCTTACAACAATACATCTCTGCAGCAGGAGTGACTAATCCAGCACACATGCTGGTAGCCAGGGCGCTTCTTCAAAGTGTTTCACCTCCTCTTTCTTGGCACGCTGCACGTTTGACTTTCCTTTGATCAGGTTGATAATCTAGCGCCCTCTCGCTGCGCGCCCAGCTCTCCTTTGCCAAGCCCTAGCGGGCATGTGCTTTTATTGTGTTTAAAGGGCAGATTGCGACAACCATCGCTAGCGCCACGCTTTCTACTCAACTGAGGGGTTGTTGTTTTTTCCGTCTCTGCAAATGGTTTCAATCACTGGCAGTATCGTAAAACCACCAATTCAGGAAAAGGACCCACTTGAAATAGACAGTTAGTTACTGGAGACCTTCTAACCTATTTCAATCTGCGCCCTGGGCCGGGCAGCGACCCACCCTCCGGCCGCCCAGAATCGGTGTCCTGCCACTTAACGCAGGTCGATTAAGGTTTTTGTCTTTTTCTTTCCCCTCTTCCCATTGTTCCCCACTTTGAAAAATCGTCTTCGCCTCCGCCAGGGAAACCTGATCCGGCTGCAGCTTGGCTCCCAAGCGGAGGAGACAGAGCTCCGTCTGTCCTTGGCACGCCGGCCCCTGCCCCCTTCCCCCGCCAGGGCACTGCTGCTGCGGCGCTCGCCCTCCTCATGCCTTAGGAATGTTGCGAAGTATGCGCAAGTTTCCAGCAGTAGATCCCCTTTCTTGCTGGAGGAGAGAGGCAAGCATATATCATCCGGTGGCAGCTGTCCACCTTCCCTGCCGTTTCGTAACCGCTTACGAGAGTAAATTGCGAGTTGGGAACAGCCCTCTCTTAAGGAGCAGATTGGGGAGAGGCTCTTCCCACTCGGAGAAGGCAAGTCTTCCCAGGCGCACCCCTCACGTTGGGAGCTACAGCAATCCAGACGTCTTGGTCATTGCCGCTGCTTCTGCTCCTCCTCCTCTGCTCCTGCTACTTGCTGTTCCCTCCACAAGGTGCCCCGGAGCTCATCCCTCTCCTCTTCCCTTCCTCCTCTCTCCAGGTCCTACCGCTGGGGCTGCAGGCGCTGCCGCAGGAGCTGCCCCACCACCAACCCCGCTACCAGGCGGCTGCCACTAAAGGTCTGTGTGCGCGCAGAGGAGTGGGAATCCCCTTCCTTCCTCTCTTCGGAGTCCTGTTGCCTTTCTGTGCCGTTCACACACGCGCGCTTCTGATTGATGCACTGACAGCTAATGGTACAGGACCGAAGGGGGACTAGAACGGGGTGTCGTGTGTGTGTGTGCGTGTGTGTGTGTGTGTGAGAGAGAGAGTGTCTGTGTTTTACAACCTAGGAGTCAGGCTTAGAAATGAAATTGAAGTAACGAGGAGTGGGCGAGGAGGCGATCGATGAACTGGGGAGCCTTCTCGCCTGTGGTTACGAGAGCTGAGAAATGCCTCTGTAAGGGGAAACACCTATCATTGTTAGCGAATTGTAGCCGATTCTGCTGGAGAGCTGCTGTTTCCTTTAGCCCTCGGGAAGCGTGGCAAAATGTTCGTGGTTTTCCCCACTGAATACGTGATGCTCGCTGTTTTGGCGAGCTGTACAGAAAAGTGAAGATTTTGTAGCAAATCGTATTAAATGGTGCTTTTGGAGATGTCACTCTGCGACTGACTGTATATACATTAGATAGCTAGACGCCCATTTAAAAACAGGCTGGATAGCATCACTTGGTGGTTGCATCTAATATGCAATTAGTTTATAATTTCAATGTGGGTTGCTCAAGTAAAATCATATCTGTTTAACGTACTAAAAAGTCTATTCTGAATAGTTTTGATGGCCTTATTAAAGATAAGTTAGCGCTGTCTTAATTTGGCGGGATCTCTCTCTCTCTCCCCTGGTGTGTGCAGCCCCTTGTAAGTAGCTTCTCCTTGTTTCCAATCTTGAACTGTCTGACAGCTAATTGTATGGGGAAGTGACAAAAGTTGCTGATTGCATAGGCTTGGAATGACTTTTTGCTGGTCTTCGGGGTGGAGTTGGTATAACGTCGAGATCAAACTGACCCTGGTGCAAGGTCTGTGGTAGCTTTTGAAGTTATTGTCTGAGATCAAAGCTAAGAATTCGGTCCTGGTCCAAAGATAATCTGTTTTTATTTCAGTACAGTAAGCGAAAGCAGCATTCCTCCCCCACCTAAAGGCGGGTCAAGACATTTACGTTTGAAAGCAGAAAGTTGAATGAAGTGTTGCTAGGCAATCAAATAAATGTTTTGGCAAAAAATTAAAAGTTTTATTTTTGGAAAAATCTACCAGGAATGCCAATCTGGCAGCAGCAGCAAAGCACATGTCTGGCTGAAACGGTTCATTTTTGCTCCTGCTCAAAAGATGGCACTCTAAGCCCAGACAAAACTTCGCGGACAAAAGTCCTTTTAACGTTTTGTTTAAAAGGCTTTTAAGACCGTTCCCAACTGCTCTTTAGCGGATGTGCTGCAAGAATTGTCCGTCCCCACGCAGAACAGTGGAATGCGTTTGAAGTTATCAATATACAGTACTTTAATCATCCTTATGTCAGTGCCGGGGACTCAAATTTTAGGCATAAGCCTATCTCCAAATATGGGCGATAGTCTCTGAAACAGGCTTTCGTTCTCGACTTTCTCCCAGGTCCAAGTAATTTTTTGCGGTGTCAGGCAATTAAAAGAAGCAATTTAATATACGGCAGCATGGTATGCTTTTAAGTTCAGTGCCAGTAGCTGGGCAGGGTAGTGTTGGATCTTGTCAGCGTTTTATACCAATGAAATATGTCTTGTCTTTGGTTCGCTAGATAGCACAGAACTACTTTTCCTCTGAGCTCTTTCTGTGGGCTATTAGCCTAATGATGTATGCATTTCCCCTCTTTCTTTCGTTTTGCTCCTCCTGGCATCTTCTTGATTAAATATATTGCTTAATTGCTTGTGGATTTCTCTCTCAGGCGACCTTACTGTGGTCTCTGTAGCATTTATTCATAAATACACACAACTCCCCATTTATATAAAGCTCAGAAATTTCCGTCTGGTATGTATTTCCCCCCTCCCCCCTTATGGGAGAATAAGGGCCTAACATTTCAGACAAACGCCTATTCGCTCCTATGGGGGTTTTGCCTTAGTAGTGACTGTTGGTTCTGACCCTAAACGTGTAGCCCTGAGCAAACACGGCTTATAAGTGTACAGCTGCTTGTAATTAGGAATGACTAAAATCTTTCTAATTCCTATATATGCTTCTAGACAATCCGCAGCGATGGCATGGTTCATTCTCTTGTCTTCTTTTATCAAGCGCTGTAAAGCGATTTCCCCTCAGATTGTGTAAACGAATTATCAGATGTTAAAACATCAGGGTTTAGGCCGTCGGGTCGGGTTTCAGTTGTGTGTTACATACACTTCTGTATAATCTATTGCAGACCTTAAAGAAAGGAAGACTTGCATATTCGTAGGCAGAACAAAAAAAAAGTTTTTATTACAATTTCCAAACTACCTCGAGACCATTAAAATACTGTTAACTAAGTGCTTCAGCAGTTATGAAAAAGGAGCCGAGTAAAATCCCCAGCTGAAAGAGACATTTAGTGGATTCAAGGCAAAAATGACCTCTGAATTAGCTATCCTCACACTCAGTCTAAGTTTTGCATATGTAGGAGCAGAAATCTTTTCGCCATTTCCGTGATCAAATTAACTCGAATTTAATACCACGATTGAAGTTTTGTCTGATTAACATGATCAGAAGGGCCCAGTAACAAAAGGCACATTATTGTGAGGCTAGACTCTCCAGCTAGTAAGGCAGATCTGTCAAGTTTGGATGGCTTCCAAGTCTAGAGGCTGTAACCTGGTCCCGTGGGTGGGGGCTGGGGATAAGGGGGTTAGGGAACATAGTGGTCTCTGCAGCTCTTCTTTTCATGTTTTCTGAATACACCCACCACATCCTCTAACCCGTGCTTATTATTTCTCTTTCTTTTTAATCATCACAGATCCATTCATGTTGTTGTGATCCCAAAGGGCAGACATGAAGATCAGGCTGTCTTCAGCAATTGCTGCTCTATGCGCAGCTCTCCTCCTGTCTTCGACAGAGGCTGAAGGTAAATCATTCCCTCCCAGGGCTCCTTGCAGTGATGGTGCAGAATTAAAACAAACAATCCCTTCCCCCAACTTTCTTGCTTTCCGTTCTCAGTGCACTTACTTCACTTACTCTTCTCTCTCTCCTTCAGAGAAACGCCTCTTCTTCCTTGTCCCTCTGGTCCAGCTCCTTCTGTGTTTTGTTAATTTCACTTAGCAGATTGTCTCTCTCTCGCTCGCTCTCTCTCTGGTGTGCTGTCCACACTGACTGCCCTGCAGCCTTGGGAAAGCCAGGGCTAGGCTGGGAGTGCGGCGCTGTGCTCTCCCTGCCCCCCAGGCTGAGTGTGCACAGGGCTCGGGGAGAAGGCTCCTGTGCAAACACGAAAGCTCAGATTAAAGCTGAGGTGCCCCGGAGCGCTGGCACACGCCCTCCTGCCTGGTACTCACTCTGCTTTGTGTGTGAAGTCAGAACTGTCTCAGAAGCCAATAAACAACTCCAACAGCGCGTGGCTCTCCGCGTCTCCGTGTTGCGATCGGATGTGGCTCTTCCCCACCAGGGAGTCACGGGGGAGCGGGGAAGGGCATTCGCTGCCCGCTGCTTCTGGCAGCTCCCAGAGGAGGCTCAGTCTCCTTCGCTCCGAGCAGGGACACCTCCGTGCGCCGCTCCCCCCGCCGGGCTCGGCTCCCAACCAGCAGCTGAGCTCCCGCGAACGCCTGGGAGACTCGGCAGCTCCTTCCTCCCCTAGCCCGGAGCTGGTTGGCAGCGGCCTCTGGCCCGGGTTCGTGCAAGGCTGCGGGCCCCCCGGAAGGCATTGCACAGGCGCTGGGGCGTGCTAGCAGGGGCAGGCCCCTAGGGATACAGCCCACGCCGCGCCGCGCCCTGGGAATCCCTCAGCCTGCCGCGCGGGCTGCCCTACCCAGCCCCTGTATGGGCACGGAGCCCTGTGCATGGAGCTCCTGCTCCCTTCGCAGGACCCAAGAGGGGCCGCCAGGGCTAGCTGCCGGGCCCTACTCTCCCTGCAGGGGGTCCAGGGCCTTCAGCGAAGCTCCTGCTCGGCTCTCGCGGGGATCTGGCGCCGTCTTTCCCACCAGGGGGCTTGGGACCTGGGCCAGATCTCGCAGGAGAAGCCCGTCCCAAGCGGCCCAAGGCTGCTCCTGCCTCCAGCTGAAGGAATGAAGAAAAGGAGGGGAGCCCGCCCCCCTCAGCCTGGGCAGCGCTACCCAATCAGTGCCGCTTAAAACCACTCTGCTGCGCAGGGGGCATTTGCCTCTCGATGGGCAAGTAGGAGGCGGACGGTGTTTATCTCCCTGGTGAGCTGGGTGTGGTTTGTTAACTGTTCCAGGGAAAGCTACCGCTAGCTGACTCCCCTGATCCGCCATGCCTAGGTGGACCTCTGAGGCCAGAAATCCTGTCTGGGTAATAGGCTGAACCAAAACTATCCTCCAAACTTTTTGAAACGTTCAGATCCCAAATATGGAGCTCAGGGTTGTTCCCTGGTTCTGTAACTGGCTGAACCACAACCCAAATCTCAACACACGTTACAGAGTTTGTATCCAGATCTGAACTCCATGGACCCAGCCTATGGCTAATAATAATAATAATAATAAATAATTAATAACGAAAAAACAATCTCAATGAAACCCTAATGTAATTTGCCTTCCAGAAGCAGCAGTGCTATTGGTAGGGCCCTACCAAATTCATGTCCATTTTTGGTCAATTTCACGATCATAGGATTTTAAAAATCGTAAATTTCATGGTTTCAGCTATTTAAATCTGAAAATTCATGGTGTTTTAAGGGTAGGGGGCCTGACCTAACTCTGAAGGCAGTAGCGCAGAAGTAAGAGAGGCATGGTATGGTATTGCCACCCTTACTTCTGTGCTGCTGCTGGTGGGGTGCTGCCTTCAGAACTGGGCACCTGGCCAGCAGCCGCTGCTCTCTGGCGTCCCAGCTCTGAAGGCAGTGCAGGAGTAAGCGTGGCAATATTGCAATCCCACTACAATAACATTGCAACACCCCCCCACTCCCATGACCCTCTTTTGGGTTAGGACCCCCAATTTGAGAAACACTGGTCTCCCCTGTGAAATCTGTGTAGTACAGTGGTTCTCATACTATTGTACTGGTGATCCCTTTCACATAGCAAGCCTGTGAGCATGACCCCCCTTATAAATTAAAAACACTTGTTTATATATTTAACACCATTATAAATGCTGGAGGCAAAGCGGGGTTTCGGGTGGAGGCTGACAGCTCGCGACCCCCCATGTAATAACATTCGGACCCCCTGAGGGGTCCTGACCCCCAGTTTGAGAACCCCTGGTGTAGTATAAAGTAAAAGTACACAAAAGACCAGTTTTCACTGGGGAGATCAGATTTCACGGTCCGTTTTTCACGGCTGTGAATTTGGTAGGGCCCTAGCCTGTGATCAGACAGGCACAAAGCAGATCGGCTTGCTGAAAAGTATGACAATATTATCAACATCTGGTTCCTCTGAAAACGAATGTGATCGTTGCCTCTGGCTTCCAGCCACACTGTTGTTGGCTGAGGAACCAACGGACGTCATTTAAAATCATTTCAGAGTTTGCATTTGGAGTGCAGGAGCACTGTGCGAGAGAAAGCAGAAAGAGTATAGAGCTGGTATGGGGGGGGCGAATATATGTATTTAAAACTTAACAAAAGGGCAAGATCCTACCACCTTTACTCATGTTGAATAGTGCCCTATTGCTTAGATAGCTTTGGTGATTTCAGTGATGTCACTTCTGGAGTAAGATACTATCTATTATGAGCCAGTGTGTCTGAGTTGGACCTTGACCAACAAAGGGTATGTCTATACTTACCCGCTGGTTCGGTGGCAAGCAACCGATCTTCTGGGATCGATTTATCGTGTCTTGTCTAGACGCGATAAATCGATCCCGGAAGTGCTCGCCGTTGACGCCGGTAATCCTGCTCCGCGAGAGGAGTAGGCGGAGTCGATGGGGGAGCCTGCCTGCCGCGTGTGGACCCGTGGTAAGTACCTTTAAGTTCGAACTAAGATACTTCGACTTCAGTTACGTTATTCACGTAGCTGAAGTTGCGTATCTTAGTTCGAACTGGGGGCGTAGTGTGGACCAGCCCTATGTATTGGGATAACTATCGTGATTGACTGAGTATTGCTGCTGAAAGTTACTAAATTATATTTTTGTGGAGTACAGAAGTGTTTAGTTATCGTGAAACTAGATGCATGTTCAATCCTTTCATCAAAGTTGATATAGTTCTCATTTCAAGCCCTATGAAACAATATTAAGCAAAAAAGGACTTGGGCCTGATCCTGTATAGTGCTGAGTGCTGACTGAATGGCTCAACAAAGTTCATGAGGCACTCAGCATTTTGCAAACCCAACCTTTACTCTGTATTCAGAGATTTTTATTAAATAAAATTTATCTAAATATCAGGGGCCCACCTGATTTTTTTTTGGCGTATGCTTGTTCCATTAGCAGTGCCAATTCCTGAAATATTTATGCTCATGTCCTTGCTCATACCAGACAGGTTCTGTTTTCTTTTCTTGGCTGTAGTAACTAGCTGGAAACATTCCTAATAGGAAGCAAGTTTGCTTCTGTGAGTTCTCTCTAGGGAAGGGCAAACTTTGTCATAGCTTGGGAGTTCTTGAAATGCTAAAACATACATTAAAATAAACAGGACAAATTTTTGTCACTGTGAGAAAAATTATATAAGGACTTCTGCAAAGTCAGAAGAATAAAAAAATGTTGAGAATTGTGGGAATAGGAAGTGGACTGGGAGCCGGAGGTGCTGTAAATAGGAATGCAAAAACTTAAGATCACATCAGGATATACTCTAGTGAGAAAAGGGGGTTGGATGGGTTTTTTTTGGAGCATTTATAGTTGGCCTTATTCAGTATTTTTCATCTGTACAGTCTCAGTTGCCCTCCTACATTATTTTAATTTTCTGCCTCAATTTTGCATCATCTGTTGAAGGACATATTGGATCTTCTTTGTCTTGGTTTTACTGTCATTTCATCATTTAATCTGTCTGCTGAACTATAGCTATCATATGCACATTTCTTCATTTGGTTTGACTCCTCCAACATTCACATCATATTGTCTCTCAGTCCTATTCTGGGTGGGACAGTTCCCAGTTTTTGGCTTCTACCCTGAGCAGGTGCCATAAAAGTTTTTGCTTCAGTTCCTGTCCATATCCATTAGGCTAGTGCAGTTGTGCATTTGATACTTCTTTAGCTGTCAGAAGGTTCCTTTCTCTTCCTGTTCGTTACTGCTCCTCCTATGGCTTCCATAGGTAGCAAAGTTTCCTCCCGTGCTGAAGTTTCAAGCTCTGTATCTCTTAGGAGTATGTGGCACCTGCTGTAGCAGAGGAAGAATGGCAAGTTGGCACTGAAGGGAAGGGCCGGCTCCAGCTTTTTTGCTGCCCCAAGCGGTGAAGTGAAAAAAAAAGAAAAGATAAAGCCGCGATCGGCGGCACTTCGGCGGCAGCTCTCCGCGCCGCTTCATTCTTCGACGGCAATTCGGCGGCAGGTCCTTCGCTCCAAGAGGGACTGAGGGACCCGCTGCCAATTTGCAGCCGAATACCAGGACGTGCCGCCCCAAGCACCCGCTTCCTTTGCTGGTGCCTGGAGCCGGCCCTGCTGAAGGGGGAAAGGTTGAGAGTCTCTGTACTCTGCCTCCCTGTCTCTGTTTTTGAGCCTTCCTTCCTCTCCAGTGAATAGCTCCAATGTTTGTTTGCTGCTGCTCATAGTATCCCAAGCCCCTGCACAGTGAAATGGACCTATTCTTATCCATTTCATGAATACCTTTCGGGGTTCTGAATAACAGCAATATCCTGCTACAGTTTGGAATGTGGTGAGCATTAGCAAAGGCACTGGAATGGGCTGCAGACTTAGGAAGACAGCACTGCTGTGGTTTATATTCAGTTCACTTTGGAAATTTATCTTAATACCAGATGGGTTAGAAACATAATATTTTTAAAAATAAACTTCTTAGAAGTTGATGGCATCTCAGTGTGAAAGCTATTCATTC